AGTGGGTGCTCCGGACGGGGCTGCTACTGCTGTTCCTGCTGTTTCTGGTGTTGCTGCGCGGCCCCGACCGTACTTCGTTCCGCTCCTGCAGCAGGTTCTTGGTCTTGCACCTCCTCCTGCTCCCTTAGAGGGTCCGCAGCCTGTTCGGTCACAGCCACAGCTACAGCCTGCCTCCCCTTTGCCTGCTCCTTCTCCCTACGGTGGTCTGACTGGAGGTCTTACTGAGCGTCGTGAGCCTGAGTCTCGTCCTGCGTCGCCTGTTTGTACTGAGCGCGCTAGTGGTCGTGGTTCGCGTCAGCGTCCTCCTCCTGTCCCTGGCACGCACTGGATGTCACTGCGTCCGTCCACTGCTCCTCTGCATGCCCCTTTGCCTTCTCCTCCTGCTTCCTCTCTTCCTGCTCTTGCCGACCCTGAGTCGGACTCTCTTCGCGCTGCCAGTCCTACTGTCACGCGTCTCCTTGCTACTGCTGTCACTGACCCTTCCTTCGAGTCGTCTGCTGCGTCTGCCCTTGTCACTGAGCTTGTCGACTTTGCTGCGCGCTGTCGTCTAGACTACGCTGCTCGTCTTGTCACTGAGTCTGAGTCCGCCTGTCCTCCGTCCGTCGGGGGTGAGTGTGCCCTTGGCACGGACGTCCTAGAGGACAGGCAGGAGGAGTTACAGTGTCTAGCGGCTGCTTCACCTCATCTCGCGTCTGTACTGCTTGCCCCTGAGGGAGACCCGGATGCACTAGACATCCCGACTCCGCGTTCTTACGCGGAGGCCGTAGAGGGTCCCTACTCCTCTCAGTGGCACGCAGCTATGGATGCAGAGATGGCTTCCTGGAAGTCCACAGGCACCTACATTGACGCGGTTCCCCCTCCTGGGGCGAACATCGTCAGTGGCATGTGGATCTTCAGGGTGAAGCGGCCGCCGGGCTCCCCGCCTGTCTTCAAGGCGCGTTACGTGGCTCGTGGCTTCAGTCAGCGGCAGGGAGTTGACTACTTTCAGACCTTCTCTCCCACCCCAAAGATGACCACTCTTCGGGTGCTGCTGCACATTGCCGCTCAGCGCAACTACGAGCTTCACTCTCTCGACTTCAGCACTGCGTTCCTGCAGGGTAGCCTGCACGAGGAGATCTGGCTGCGCCGTCCGCCTGGCTTCACTGGGACTTTCCCTCCTGGCACCCAGTGGAGCCTCCGACGACCAGTCTACGGTCTTCGCCAGGCACCGCGTGAGTGGCACGACACACTGAGGACTACGCTTGCGGCTCTTGGGTTTGCTCCTTCTACTGCTGACCTGTCGCTGTTTCTTCGCACCGACACTTCCCTGCCGCCGTTCTACATCCTCGTGTACGTTGACGACTTGGTCTTTGCCACAGCGGACACTGCTGGACTCGCCTACGTGAATTCCGAGCTGCTGAAGAGACACACGTGCACAGACCTGGGTGAACTGCGCAGCTACCTTGGCTTGCAGATCACTCGGGACAGAGCACGTCGCACCATTACCCTGACTCAGTCACACATGGTGCAGCAGGTCCTTCAGCGCTTCGGCTTCACGTACTCCTCGCCTCAGGCCACTCCTCTGCCTACTCGCCACTCACTCTCAGCTCTGCCTTCGGATGAGTCCGTAGAGTCGAGTGGTCCGTATGCAGAGCTTGTTGGCTGCCTCATGTACCTGATGACCTGCACACGACCTGACCTTGCATACCCTCTTAGCATTCTGGCACGCTATGTTGCTCCTGGGAGACACAGACCGGAGCACATGGCTGCAGCGAAGAGGGTATTGCGCTACCTGTGCAGTACGTCGGGCATGGGGCTAGTGCTTGGAGGGCGGAGTCCAGTGGTCCTTACCGGCCACGCGGACGCTTCTTGGGCTGACGACCAGGCTACGCAGCGGTCGTCACAGGGTTACACCTTCAGCCTTGGTTCCGGTTCTGTCTCGTGGCGGTCTACTCGCTCGTCTTCGGTTCTCGGCTCCAGTTGTGAGGCTGAGATCTACGCCGGGGCCATGGCTGCACAGGAGCTTCGCTGGCTCACCTACCTGCTGACCGACCTTGGAGAGCCGCCTCGTTCTCCTCCAGTGCTGTACGTAGACAACAAGGCCATGCTGGCCTTGTGTCGAGAGCAGCGTTTGGAGCACAGAACGAAGCACATTGCTCTCCGCTACTTCCTTGCTCGTGAGCTGCAGCAGCGTGGTCAGTTGCGACTTGCTTACGTGGCCTCTGAGGCCAACACTGGTGATGTGTTCACCAAGGCACTTGCGCCTTGTGACCATCAGCGCTTTTGTACCCAGCTGGGTCTTGTACCTGTCTTGCCTCACTTGCTCTCTTCTTGACTTTACTTGTACTTTGTCATATATATACCTGCTCCTGCTTGTCTAGTTTTATATATATGTCTGTACTCCTGCATGTGAACTGGCCTCTGGCCCTGCTCTTGTGCTCGGACTGTGTGGTGACTTTGTGATCCACCTTGAGCTTGCTTTGCTTTGCTTTGCTTGACTGGTCTTGTGACCCCTTGTTCTCCCCCACTTTGCCTATGGGGGTGTGTCAGATCATTATAGCTGATGCATGTTTGTAGGCTATAGTGGGGTAGCACATATGGGGTACAGTTTGCTAGGGTTGCATTTGTACCCAACTCTGACTTAGTCAATTCATTCCTGTTCAGTTAGTTCCACAGCCTCGTCTATGGCAGCAGTACCTCTATTCCGTCCTCGAGCTCGGCTTCACTCAGCTGCCACACGACCTCGGAATGTACAAGCAAGAATCGCGCGGGAAATTCGTACTCCTCGTTGCCTACGTCGACGACCTTCTCTACACCGGCGACGACACGGAGCTGCTGGACCAGTTTGAGGCTGACATCAAAGAGAAACTGGAGGTGACAATCAACCACAACGTCACCTAGTTTCTCGGCCTCAATGTGACTCAGTCCGCCTCCTCCATTCACCTCTCCGCCGCCAAGTACGCTGAAACACTCGCGAAGCGCTTCTCCATCGCACCAATCAACCTCACTACCCCCTATCGCACTCCTCCTCCTAACCAAGAGCCAAACACCACACCGCTCTCTCCCGACAACTATCGTCTCTATCAGCAGCAGCTGGGATGTCTCCTGATCGCCGCCGTCACGTGTCAACCCGATCTCTCCTACGTCGCAAGCCAGCTCGCACAGTATCTGAAGCGACCTGAAGGGGAGAATCTACTGGATCTACGCCGAGCACTACAGTACTTCATCTCCACTCCCGACATCGGTCTCACCTACGAAGCTAACCTCACCGCTACTCTACAGCTCCATGGCTACGTAGATGCCGACCACGCTGGAGATGTTGACAACAGACGCTCCCGCACATGATTTATTTTTCAACTCCAACCTGCCGGACTCATCTCCTGGAACTCTCAGAAGCAGGAACTTATCGCTCTCTCGTCAGCAGAAGCAGAATTCATCGCAGCTAGCGCAGCTGTTCGCAAAGGACTATACCTGGTGGAGCTCCTGCAAGAAGGGAAAGTGACGATGAACGGGCACTTCTCGTTACTCTGCGACAATCAGAGCGCGATAAAGATCGCGAACAAGCCCAGCTTCGTCAACCGCACCAAGCACATCGCCCTTCGCTACTTCTTCGTGAAGGATGAAATCGACAAAGGGAAAGTCAAGCTGACGTACTACCCGACCGGTGACATGGCAGCTGATTTCTTGCCAAAGAAGCTGCCACGTCAGCAGTACCAATGCTGCGCCGACCTCTGCGGGATCACCAAGAAATCCCACGTGGCCCACCTTCAGGAATGAAGGGGAGTGTTGGAATAACCGAAAGGCTATATAAAGCATTCCCGGAGCTGTTCCACTGTACCAGTACCGCAATAGCTCATATAGAGCATGCGGAATGTCGAGGGTCACCCGAAGGTCAACCGTCTGAGGAAGTCAACGGTCGTGACCCTCGACGATCCAGTAACCGCACGACAGTTAATTCACTGCAACATGGTAACTGTCGAGGATGGCAATAGTCACGGTTAGTGTAGCAATGCAATACAGTTAATAAGGGAATGTACCCCTCATAGTACATGGCTAGCTAGATTTCTATTTTATCTCTTGTACTCCTATCTTTCAATCATCTTGTTCTCTTTCAATTATTATTCAACAAGGTCACTACAGAGACTTCATTGTCTTCTCTCAGACTTAACAGATTCTATCCTATCTACTGGATCCTTGGTTACATCAGTAAGTTCGATCTGCACATACGAAAAGTTTGAAACAGTGTTTTGGAAACCCACCCCGCAACACCGTTTCAAGCTGGGACGGGGTTCACTATTCTATATTCCGGTTGTAACATCACAGGTTGACCCGCGTACGTGAGTTTCGGCGCGAACTTCTTGACCCCCTCGAAAATGCCATATGGCACCCCTCTGGCGACTTGCAGCGGAAGATTTACCAGCACGTGGCGACAGTGAAATAGTGGGAGGGGGGAAATCTCGGCAAATTCTAAGTGAAAGGACCGCGGCCAATCATCGAGGGAGAAATTTTCGCGATATCCTCCCGTACTTGCACCAACTCATCAACAGCTAAAATAAGGAATCTGTAAGGAAAGGGGGGTGTTATAAAAAATCACCCGAAAAGGGGGGTATAACGAGGCCGCCCATAACACTCACCGCGCACAAGTTACCCAGACGGTGTACAATTTCGGCGGGTGTTTCATCCGGGAAAATACGGTACAAAATATACAGAACACAAGACCTGACTGCCCTTTTTCATTTTTTCAATCCACAAGTTAATATGTATGGTTGTGTGACACATCCACTCCTCTCCCATGGCATCCCCAGGTCCCTGCTGCGCATTGTGTGTTCGTAGCTTCAATCCTGCGATTACAGCCAGTTCTGTCCACAACCTTCTCACCGCCCCTTTCCACCACCGCTACATTCAATGCTCTGGTCGTTTTTTCCGGGCATTGCAAGGGCAATGGAGGGGCAAGCGACCAGCCACCTGCCGGCCATCTCCTTCAACAAGCTTGGAGCGGCCAGCCAGGGCAAGCACCATCCTCACTCATCGCTGTGGCATTCAATAAAGCAAAGACTTGCGTCAGCAGCGTGGTTGAGGCGTGCTGTGGGCATCATGCTGGCGTGCATGAGAGGAGAGAGGCGGCGGCGGTGGCGGTGGCAGGTGCGCAGTGGGCAAGCTGGGGAAGTCGGGCGCCACCTCCATGTGCTGCTCCGGCTGGACCCTCGCCATGGGTGGTGGGGCGGTGGGAGGAGCGGTGGGACGGGTGGTGGGAGGGATGCACTCATGGGCTGAGGTGGTGCGAGGAGAGGTTGGTAGGGAGGGAGGGGAGGGTGAGAGCGAGGGGAGAGAGGGGAGAGTGGGGGCGAGGGGAGCGAGGGGAGCGTTGGGGCGAGGGGAGGGAAGAGAGAGTGGAGACGAGGTGAGTGAAGGGAGAGTGGGGACGAAGGTAGCGAGGGAAGAGAGGGGAGTGAGGGGAGTGAGAGGAGTGAGGGAAGAGAGGGGAGAGAGGGGAGAGAGGGGAGAGAGGGGAGGGAGGGGAGTGGGGAGAGAGGGGAGAGAGGAGAGAGGGGAGAGAGGGGAGGGAGGCGAGGGAGGGGAGTGGGGAGTACCTGCAGAAGGGCGAGGATTGCAGCAAGCAGCGAGTTGAGGAGCACCACGAGGCAGAACACCTTCCCTGCCACCACCCCACACGCGTAGTACCTGCACCGTGTGCGCGGCATGCAAGGCGCATGCGAGGGACATGTGAGGCGCATGTGAGAGTGGCACGTGAGGGTATGTGATGGCTGCACCACGAGGGGCATGTGATGATGACACACAGTCTGATGGAGGCATGAATGCAACACAGGAGCCGTGCTGTCATGCAACACAGGAGCCGTGCTGTCATGCAACACAGGAGCCGTGCTGTCATGCAACACAGGAGCCGTGCTGTCATGCGGAACCCAGTCGGGCAGATAGGGGAGCGCAGCCAGTGTGAGGAGGGATTGTGAGGTGTGCGACACAGCACAGACCGTGATGCTCTCTCAGCTGATTGCAAGGCAGGGAGAGGCGGATGGGTGCACCTGGAGAGGCGGGTGGGGAGGTCATCGAGAGGCATGGCCATGACGCGGTCGTACACGCGCTCCGTGCGCTCTGCCACGTCATGCCAGCTGTACATGCGCGACACCTGCTCCTCGCACCGCGGTGGCCCAGTGGTGGTGTGCGGGGTGGGGGCAGCGGCGTGGAGTCATGGCACGTGGGCGTGGGAGGGCGTTGGGGGAAAGAGATGAGTACTTGCAGAGTAGGTTAGTCATGGCGGTGCAGGCAACGGTGGGTATGGGCACGTGGGGCATAGTGCGACGTGGCAGTGGAGAAAGGGGTGGAGAAAGGGATGCATATGTGCGGCAGGCACAGTGCCATGGTGCCATGGTGGCGTGGTGCCATGGTGGCGTGAAGGCAAGCTAGAGTGCGAGCAAGGGGACGACGCAGTGTGATGCGCTGGAGGGGCTGTGATGCGCTGGAGGGGCTGTGATGCGCTGGAGGGGCTGTGATGAGACACATTAGAGGGTGCAGCACTGAGTGCGTATATTGGGTGCACCAACCCCATGGTTGGGCGTGGGCCACCGATTCTTCAACTGAGGTGCAAGGGTGTTGTGAGATCCCAAGAATGACCGTGGGAGGCAGGGAGACAGTGGATTCATAGCAAGAGTGTGGCACGGTGCTTGCGAGATTGCACACACCCTCTCGTGCATGGCCTGGGGGTTGACACGTGGCACAATCTGAATGGCCTGTGCGATGGCCTCCACGATGTCAGGCGGGTTGGGGTCCGCCAGCAGCATCATGTCGGGCGGCAGCACCTGGGGGGGGGAGGGGCGCCGTGTGGGGGGGAAGGCGCGTGGTGTGTGGGGGCAGGGAGGTGGGGTTGCGGATGCTGGGACATGGGGACGCCAGCAGCAGTGCTTGAGAATTGTCTAAGATGGCTCATCCTGGCGAGCGGCAGCCCCTTTGGGGGGTGGGGGAGATGTGGTTGGAGAGGACGAGGGGGGATGGGGAGACACGCACGTAAAAGGAGCGGGAAGGAGATGAATTGGAGGGGGGTGTAGAAGGCAAATGAGGGGGGAATTGACAGGCACAGCAGGGAGAGCAGTGGCAAAGGAAAGCGTGCAATGGCAAACACGGCAGGGGAGGTGGAGTGCACTAGGGAGGATGAGGGAGGCAATAAGGTAAGGAAAGAAAGACCGGTGCACAGCCTCGTTCCAGCTCGCAATAACACACTGAGACCTTCCAGATTCCATGTGGCACCCATCACACGGACCCATGTGGCACCCATCACACGGACCCATGTGAACCTCGCCTTGCTACATCATGCAGCACTGCCCCATGGCGCCCGCAACATATCACAGCACGGTGCAGGGCACAGCACGGTGCAGGGCACAGCACGGTGCAGGGCACAGCACGGTGCAGGGCAGCACGGTGCAGGGCACAGCACGGTGCAGGGCACAGCACGGTGCAGGGCACAGCACGGCAGAGCCCCCTTCACCGTTCTCCCCTCAACCCCATTCTCCCCTTGCCTCGCCTCGCCTCGCCCCAGCCCGCTCACCTCATCTTCATCCCACCTCACCTCAACTCACCATACCTCACGTCACCTCACCTCACCGCACCTCACCTCACCTCACCTCACCTCACCTCACCGCACCTCGGGCACGCCGCCGACACGCGTGGCGACGACGAAGAGGCCGCAGCAGGCGGCCTCGAGGATGGCGATGCAGAAGGCCTCGGTGAGCGAGCTGGGGGGCGGGCAGGGGGAGAGAGGCGGGGGAGAGAGGTGGGGGGAGAAGTGGGGGAGAGAGGTGGGGGGAGAGAGGTGGGGGAGAGAGGTGGGGGAGAGAGGTGGGGGAGAGAGGTGGGGGAGAGAGGTGGGGGAGAGAGGTGGGGGAGAGAGGCGGGGGAGAGTGATGGGGGACTGAGGCTTGGCGGAGCGGACAGGTGGGGAGGATGGCGATGCAGCGGCGAGGTGAGGGAAGTGGGGGAGGGGAGGTTGAGATGACGGGGCAAGGGGGGGAAAGGGGGGCATGGCAGGCAGGGAGGGGTAGGGGGAAGGGGGGACGGCCAGGTGGGGAGAGGAGGCAGAGAGCGGGGATGGAGGAGAGAGAGACGCACGGCATGCAGGTCTGAGCAGCATGCAGAAAAGATGGTCTGTGAGAGGGAAGAGGAGACGGAAGTGAGTGGGCAAGGCGAGGCCCTCACGAGGAGGGATAGGTGAAGGCGCTACAGAGGACTGTAAGGTGAAGGGGGGTGGGGAGGGGTGTCAGGGGCACGATAAGGGACAAACGTGGTGAAAGTGGACGAGGAAAGCAAGAAGAGGGATGAGTGTTGGAGTACGAGAATAGTGCAGGCGGACAATGTGGCGTGGCAGACAATGTGGCATGGCAGACAATGTGGCGTGGCGGACAAAGTGGCGTGGCGGACAAAGTGGCGTGGCAGACAAAGTGGTGTGGCAGACAAAGTGGCGTGGCAGACAATGTGGCGTGGCAGACAAAGTGGCGTGACGGACAATGTGGCGTGGCGGACAGTGTAGCGTGGCAGACAATGTGGTGTGGCAGACAAAGTGGCGTGGCAGACAATGTGGCGTGGCGGACAATGTGGCGTGGCGGACAATGTGGCATGGCGGACAATGTGGCGTGGCGGACAATGTGGCCTGGCGGACAATGTGGCGTGGCGGACAATGTGGCGTGGCGGACAATGTGGCGTGGCGGACAATGTGGCGTGGCGGACAATGTGGCGTGGCGGACAATGTAGCGTGGCGGACAATGTGGTGTGGCGGACAATGTGGCGTGGCGGACAAAGTGGCGTGGCGGACAAAGTGGCGTGGCGGACAAAGTGGCGTGGCGGACAAAGTGGCGTGGCAGACAAAGTGGCGTGGCAGACAAAGTGGCGTGGCAGACAAAGTGGCGTGGCAGACAAAGTGGCGTGGCGGACAAAGTGGCGTGGCAGACAAAGTGGCGTGGCAGACAATGTGGCGTGGCAGACAATGTGGCGTGGCAGACAATGTGGGGTGGCAGACAATGTGGGGTGGCGGACAATGTGGCGTGGCGGACAATGTGGCGTGGCGGACAATGTGGCGTGGCGGACAATGTGGCGTGGCGGACAATGTGGCGTGGCGGACAATGTGGCGTGGCGGACAATGTGGCGTGGCGGACAATGTGGCGTGGCGGACAATGTGGCGTGGCGGACAATGTGGCGTGGCGGACAATGTGGCGTGGCGGACAAAGTGGCGTGGCGGACAAAGTGGCGTGGCAGACAAAGTGGTGTGGCAGACAAAGTGGCGTGGCAGACAATGTGGCGTGGCAGACAATGTGGCGTGGCAGACAATGTGGGGTGGCAGACAATGTGGGGTGGCGGACAATGTGGCGTGGCGGACAATGTGGCGTGGCGGACAATGTGGCGTGGCGGACAATGTGGCGTGGCGGACAATGTGGCGTGGCGGACAATGTGGCGTGGCGGACAATGTGGGTGGCGGACAATGTGGCGTGGCGGACAATGTGGCGTGGCGGACAATGTGGCGTGGCGGACAATGTGGCGTGGCGGACAATGTGGCGTGGCGGACAAAGTGGCGTGGCGGACAAAGTGGCGTGGCAGACAAAGTGGTGTGGCAGACAAAGTGGCGTGGCAGACAATGTGGCGTGGCAGACAAAGTGGCGTGGCGGACAATGTGGCGTGGCGGACAGTGTGGCGTGGCAGAAAATGTGGTGTGGCAGACAAAGTGGCGTGGCAGACAATGTGGCGTGGCAGACAATGTGGCGTGGCAGACAATGTGGCGTGGCAGACAATGTGGGGTGGCAGACAATGTGGGGTGGCGGACAATGTGGCGTGGCGGACAATGTGGCGTGGCGGACAATGTGGCGTGGCGGACAATGTGGCGTGGCGGACAATGTGGCGTGGCGGACAATGTGGCGTGGCGGACGATGTGGCGTGGCGGACAATGTGGCGTGGCGGACAATGTGGCGTGGCGGACAATGTGGCGTGGCGGACAATGTGGCGTGGCGGACAATGTGGCGTGGCGGACAATGCAACAGAGTGGCGGACAATGCAACAGAGTGGCGGACAATGCAACAGAGTGGCGGACAATGCAACAGAGTGGCGGACAACGCAACAGAGTGGCGGACAATGCAACAGAGTGGGGCTTACTTGGAACCGCATCTTCGTGCCAGCTGGCTGGCAGGAAGGCGTGAGGATGAGAGAGTAAAAAGGGAGAGGGAAGAGAGGAGGGGGGGGATCGGTGAGGAGGGGAGGGAAGGGAGGGGAGGGGAGGGGAGGGGAGGGGAGGGGAGGGGAGGGGAGGGGAGGGGAGCGGAGGAGAGCGGAGGGGAGGGAGAGGGTGAAGGGGAGGGGAAGGGAGGAAGAGGCGGAAGAGGAGGGAGCGGCGGGGACCTGTTGAGGAAGATGTGGCCCTGGATGAGCACCTGTTGAGGAAGATGTGGCCCTGGATGAGCACCTGTTGAGGAAGATGTGGCCCTGGATGAGCACCTGTTGAGGAAGATGTGGCCCTGGATGAGCACGGAGCGCACTTGGCTGTGCGGCACGGCGCCCAGCATGGTGACGCGGTGGTGCAGCCCGTGGCGGTCCCTCATCTCCTCCAGCCGCCCCCTCTTGGCGCCATCGCCCCCTATTATCCACCGCACCTGGTGTGAGGTGCATCGCATGGCGGCATGCATGGGGCACATATGCGCGCGAGCACACGCACACACACACAAACAGGCGCACGCACACACAAGGCGCACGCACACACACACACACACACACACCCACACGCACACACACACACACACACACACCCACACGCACACACACACAGGCACACGGACAGACACACGTGTGCACACACGCGTACCCACATGCACGCACATGCACACCCACACGCACACACTCCTCCCCCACCCCCCCCACACACACACCACACACCACACCACACACACATAGACACACACACACCTCACATACCACACACACACACACCCACGCACGCACACACACACACACACACAAACACACACACACACACAAACACACACACACACATGTTAGAAATCAGGAAGTTGTATTGAGTAATGAGCCAACAGGCTCTACAATACAAGCAAGGAGCAAGAGAGGAGTGTGAAAGAAGCTAACCCTAAAAGCCACTAAGTTGGCCAATGGGTGAGTTAGCTTGTGGCCCAAGCAACCACAATTGTGAGTTGATTGGATTGGTTGGGACAAGGACCAAAGGTTGGCAAGTGCCAACCAAGGACCAATGACCAGATCCAATCTTGACCAACCACAAGTTGTGGATGGAAGATACACCCATCAACCTTCCAATAGAAGAAATGACTACACCCTGCAATCTAGCCTATGGATGTTGCATACATTATAACATTACAACCACACACACACACACGCACACACACACACACACACACACATACATACATACACACACACACATTCACACTCATACGCACACGCACACGCGTGCATGCACAAACTCCCCTCCTCTTCCTCCCAAACCCCCCTATTTCCCAAAATACACACGCACGCACGCACGCACGCATGCACACACACAGGTACCATACAAGAGCGAGTGCATGGTGGTGGCAGCTGGGAGGTAGGCCCTGGTACTACCAGCGGCAGCGAGCTCACATGAGGGGAACGGCAGGCACACTTGAAGGGCTGAGAGCAGCAGCGCGCGCACACACACACACACACCTTGGGGAAGCGGTGAGAGCAGCAGCGCGCACACACACACACCTTGGGAAAGCGGTGAGAGCAGCAGCGCGCACACACACACACCTTGGGAAAGCGGTGAGAGCAGCAGCGCGCACACACACACACGCACGCACGCACGCACGCACGCACACACACACACACACACACACACACACACACACACACACACATTGGGGAAGCGGTGGCAGACGGCGGGGATGACGTCGACGAGGAGGTCAGCACCCTTGCGGTACACGAGGCGGCTGATCACCACTATCACCACCTCCATCTCCGACCCCTCTCCCCCTCGCATCTCTGAACCAACCCCCAAGCTCGCCTCCATGCCAACCCCCATGCTGTCTTCCCTGTCCCACCCAGCAGCCACTGCCATGCCACTGTGCTCGAGCCCCTCTGCTCCTGATGGTCCCACCCTCCCCACCACCTCAGCCGCTGGAGGGTGTGTCATGCTTGCTGCTCTCTCCGCCTCTTCTCTGCTCCACGCTCCCCTTGCCCCTCCCTCCCTCGTTGCCTCCTCCCCTCTTCCCCCACCCCCGACTGCCTCTCTCTGCCCCACAGCCCCTCCTGCCCCACCTTTTGCTCCTCCCCCTGCTGCACATGCTGCTGCCCCACCCCCACTGCCTGCAGCTCTGCACAGCACGGCACTACCCTCATCCTCCACATCCCTTTCTCCATCCTCCCCTGCTGCTCGTCCTCCAGCCCCCTCGCTGCGCAAACCAACAGCAGCAGCGGCTTCCCCAGCAGCACCCGTAGTAGGGGCAGCAGCAAGGGCAGCAGGTGGGGGGGGCGGGCAGCGGGTTGGGTCGGGGAGGAAGTTGTTGGCGTCAACGGCGTTGGGGATGACAGCCACTCGGTGCGGCGGCAGGGAGGGCGCAGCGCGCAGCACGGTGTTCTCCTTGCTTGTGTGGGACACACATATGGCCGCGTGAATGCCCGCTGTTGAGAACTGCAGCAGCTGTGGGGGGGAGGGTGGGAGGGAGGGAGAAGGAAAGGGGAGGGTGGGAGGAGAGAGAGGAGAGGAGGAGGCGGGGGAGGAGGTGGTGGCATGCGGGGCATGAGTGTGACATGCAGTGCACAGACTGCAACACGAGCAGAGCACAACTGAGCTGCCATCAGGCTGCTGCAGCATAAGGCATGCCTCCCCCTCACCCACCCACCCTCTCACCCACTCAGCACACCTTGTTCATGTGGATGCTGGCAGCACACCTTGTTCATGTGGATGCTGGCAGCACACCTTGTTCATGTGGATACTGGCAGCACACCTTGTTCATGTGGATGCTGGCAGCACACCTTGTTCATGTGGATGCTGGCAGCACACCTTGTTCATGTGGATGCTGGCAGCACACCTTGTTCATGTGGATACTGGCAGCACACCTTGTTCATGTGGATGCTGGCAGCACACCTTGTTCATGTGGATGCTGGCAGCACACCTTGTTCATGTGGATGCTGGCAGCACACCTTGTTCATGTGGATACTGGCAGCACACCTTGTTCATGTGGATGCTGGCAGCACACCTTGTTCATGTGGATGCTGGCAGCACACCTTGTTCATGTGGATGCTGGCAGCACACCTTGTTCATGTGGATGCTGGCAGCACACCTTGTTCATGTGGATGCTGGCAGCACACCTTGTTCATGTGGATGCTGGCAGCACACCTTGTTCATGTGGATGCTGGCAGCACACCTTGTTCATGTGGATGCTGGCAGCATCAGCGAAGCCACAGAGCGAGTGGTCGGTGAAGACAGCGCGGCGGCCCAGCGTGGGGGCGTGCAGCAGCGCGTCGTGGCACATGGGGGCGAAGCTCTGGTGCGCGTGCACGATGGCGATGCGCTCCCGAACCACTATGGCGCGGAACAGTGGCAGCGACAGGCATGGCAGCGGAGACGGGGGTGTGGCCTGCCGCGGGGTGGGATGCGTGGGGGAAGGGGAGTGCCATGGGGAAGGGGAGTGCCGTGGGGAAGGGGAGTGCCGTGGGGAAGGGGAGTGCCGTGGGGGAAGGGGAGTGCCGTGGGGAAGGGGAGTGCCGTGGGGAAGGGGAGTGCCGTGGGGGAAGGGGAGTGCCATGGGGAAGGGGAGTGCCGTGGGGAAGGGGAGTGCCAGAGGGAGGGAAGTGCCGGCGGGGAAGGGGAGTGCCGGGGGGAAAGCGGAGTTAAATGGGAGCAAGGCGTGGAATGGGATTGCAGATGCGTGCAGTGGTGGGCGTGCAGTGGTGGGCGTGCAGTGGTGGGCGTGCAGTGGTGGGCGTGCAGTGGTGGGCGTGCAGTGGTGGGCGTGCACTGTGCCTATGATCACATGAGTGAGGAGAGACAGGCAGGGCAGCAAAGCGTGGGGTGAGCCGAAGAGAGGTGAGGTGAAGCAAACGGGACCATGAGCAGCGGCGCTGCCATTGCCTGGCAATCCAGTGGGACAACGAACTGTGGATGGGGATGGGGGATGGGGTATGGGGGATGGCGGATGGGGAATGCGAAATAGGGGATGGGGGATGCATGCAAGAAAGCACTCACCTGCAGCCACACGGCACGGCGCGGCGCGTAGTAGACCTTGAGGCCATTGGTGAGGTAGCGCACTCCCACTCGGTCGCCGTATGCGTGCGTCAGCACCACCACCTGTAGCACACGGCAGGGCAGAGCAGGACGCACAGGGGCTGAGGCGTGCCGTGCAGCGACGGTACGGCTGTGATTCTTCTACACGTGAGAGCAGAGCGCATTCAGTTGGCATGGTGGCGCGGTGGCACTGGGCATCCGCACGGACTCGCCACTGGGTGGGTGACACACCTCAATCCAATCTCCTTCCCCACCACGCCTGGAAAGCACACCTTCCCATCAATGTACCACACACGCTACGCCCGCCATCCCTTCCAGTCACTCACAACCAGCGATGCTGCCACGTAAGATCCAAGACCTGATGGCTTTGTCACCTCACCGCCTCGCCACGTCACCTTGTGGCGGCGCTACAGGCGGGCGTCACCTTGTGGCGGCGCTACAGGCGGGCGTCACCTTGTGGCGGCGCTACAGGCGGGCGTCACCTTGTGGCGGCGCTACAGGCGGGCGTCACTTTGTGGCGGCGCTACAGGCGGGCGTCACCTTGTGGCGGCGCTACAGGCGGGCGTCACCTTGTGGCAGCGCTACAGGCGGGCGTCACCTTGTGGCGGCGCTACAGGCGGGCGTCACCTTGTGGCGGCGCTACAGGCGGGCGTCACCTTGTGGCAGCGCTACAGGCGGGCGTCACCTTGTGGCGGCGCTACAGGCGGGCGTCACCTTGTGGCGGCGCTACAGGCGGGCGTCACCTTGTGGCCGCGCTGCAGCAGGCACTGCGCGAGGAGGTAGATGTGGCTCTCCACGCCGCCGAAGTTGGGGAAGAAGAAGTCGCACACCATCAGCACGCGGTGCCGCCTGCCCCCGCATGTGACGTTCGGCTCGTCGTCAGAGGCGGCTAATGGTGTGCTGCTATCACTCAAGGGACTGCTCCCCGTCATTCGCCTTTGCGACTAATTCTGCCTACGACTCGCGCGACCAGGACCGTCGATCCTTTTGGAAGCAGCCGGACGGATCAGGGTGCCCGGTATGTATGAGCCTGCTTGTAGCTGGGTTGGGCCGAAATTCGGTCCTTTAGGCTTCAGGGCTGAAAACCAGAGGAGAGGAGGGAAGGGGGGGGGGAGGGGGTTGGGAAACGGGGGACGGAAGGAAGGGAGAAACGGATGAGAGGAGGAAATAACGTGGGCGCTGGCGACAGGGAAGAAATCGTGTGCGCGCTCGCTGCTTATCCCCCCCCTCCCCTCCCCGTCTCGCAGCTTATCCCCCCCACCCCTCCCTCGCTGTTAATTCCCACCTCCCCCTCTCTCTGTTTATTCCCTTCCCCCCGCCCCCTCGCTGCTTATTCCCCCCCGCGTCGTCGCTGCTTATTCCCCCCCGCGTCGTCGCTGCTTATTCCCGCCCGCCTTCTCGCTGCTAATCCCGCATCCCCTTCTCGATGCTTATTCCGCCGTGCCCCATCTGCACTTTCCGCCGTGCCTGCTCGCTGCTTATTCCCGTCCGGCCTTCTGCTGAACCCCTCGCATATCGCAATTTCTCGCCCCATCCCCCTCACACCTCTGCATTATCGCTGCAACATCTCATTTTGTCTCCGAGACGCGCCGCGGCTCAATCTAGTCCGCGCCTCTTGCGTAGTCGATGCAGCCCCCAGTCCGTGCCACGCCCGTCGATTGCGGCTCACACCCGACCGCCACTCACGCGAAATCAGCCCTCCGTGCCTCGCGCCTCCTCGCTGCAAGCTCCTTTTCCCTTTACGCACTCTCGCGTTACTAAAGCCGTCCCTCTCGCGCCCACCAAATGCTCAATAAACGCCCAAATGAATCTGCTACCGCACTGGCTAAAGATGGAGCACGTACTATGGGTGATAGGGTGCACGATGGAGCAAGTTTTACTTAGCGAAGCACAAAACTGAAACAAAGTCGCCACCAGCACCTCAATGTTAGGGCCTAACACTGCTTTGTACCGTGGCTGACACTTCTCTCAACTCTATCCTACCGTGTACAACCTTTCTAGAAGTTCTAACTTTGCCCTTACGGGTGCAATAGAACAAGATACCAGCCAGGATTGCACCAAGTATGAGCGAAGGCATGAGCAATTACATGCAACAATTACATGGTGCGTGCGAGCTAGCTAGTGCTAAGCTGGCATCGAGGTTCGGACTAGTCCCGAAGCGTAGGCCGACTCGGTCAGGCCAGCGGTGCATGGTTTGGTAAAACACTGCGCGCGAAGTTGGCGAAGCCCGTTAAAAGTAACGGGCGAACAACGGCTGGTGCTGTACGCGATGTTGAAGAACGCGATGAAGAATGCTGAAAGATTCTTTACACTACCCCCCACCCCCCCCCCCCCCCCCCCCCCCCCCCCTCAAGAAGCCCCCTCCGCTACGCAAGTGCGTGTATATCGCAGAATCCCTGACTCCTAAGGTACACTTGCAGGGCAGGGTAGTTTACGATGTTGGCTGGGGGCACCCAGCTATCCTCAGTTGGTGTGTGGTCCTTCCAGCGAACGAGGAACTCGATCCTCTTGTTGCTTGTGGTATGACGAATCGATGGCTCATAATTTTCTCAGGCTCGATGATCGGCTCCAATGCAGGGCGATTCATGGATGGCGGGCGATGTCGTGGCAGTTGGCTTGTGGTCGGGATATATGGGCGAAGCAGGCTGACGTGGAACGATGGGCTGACTTACCAGTCTCTCGGGAATAGTAGATGGGCGGTAATTGGGGTGATCATATGGCTAATTTGAAACGGTCCATAGTAACTCGATCGAAGTTTCGGTACAACGGGCAGTATTAAATTCTGTGTGTCGAGCACTACATAATCTCCTATATGGTATGTGACTAGGCGACGGTGGCGGTCAGCACTGTTCTTAGCGATGACGTTTGCTTTTTTTATTGCCTCTGCTGCTCACGTTCAGACAGCTCGCAGGATCTCGGTGGATTGTTGTGCGCGTGGCGTGGGGTTGTTCAGACTCGGCATCATGGGCACTGTTGGATTTTGCCCGTAGATCATGTTAGAATCAGAAAGTGATCGTAACCAGGATCACCTCAGGAAGGTTCGCACAGTTCTAGTCTAGTGGTGGTGGGCCCTTAACCTCAATAGCAGAGTGAATGTAAATGCTTGAGATGATTAAAAACATGCAGTACAAGGAATATAAATATGAGTACAGGGGAATTCGAAACGACCTAGCTAGCCATGTACTCTAAGGGGTACATTCCCTTATTACAGCGAAATCCAACCGTGCGACTCCGAGTGGTTACGTAACTGTTCGGGCAGAATCCTCGCCACTGCTGCTGCCTGATGCTGTCTGCCCGACGATCCAGATGCTTTTCGTAGCCGTGTGACTCTTCGTGTCACTTGCGCTCTTTCATCTTCATTCCCGGTAGTGCGTGCTTTGGTTGCTGCGGAGAGGAGTGTACAGTAGTGTTTCGATAATCACTATTCGTAACACCCCCCTTCACTCCTAGCCGTAGCAGGTCTTGACCCGCTTGACTACTCCGCTGAGTTCGGAGCAGTGCTGGTACTGTTGTCGTGGCAGTTTCTTCGTGAGGAAGTCTGCTGCCATGTCACCCGTCGGGCAATAGGTTAGGTCAACCTTGCCCTTGTCAACTTCGTCTTTGACGAAGAAGTACCGCAGCGCAATGTGTTTGGTGCGGTTGACGAATCCTGGCTTGTTCGCGATCCTGATCGCGCTCTGGTTGTCACAGTGCAGGCGAAAACTTGTTGAGGCAGGGATTTTCGCCTCCTGCAGCAGCTCCTGAAGGTAGAGGCCTTCGCGAACTGCTGCTGTCGCTGCGATGAACTCGGCCTCTGCTGATGACAGGGCAACCAGCTCTTGCTTCTGCGAGTTCTAAGAGATGGGCCCACTGGGCTCGAGGCGGAAAATAAAGCCTGTCCTGGACCGTCGATTGTCAGGGTCGGCAGCGTGATCGGCGTCCACGTAGCCGATGAGGTTGAAGGATGAAGTTGGAATGGTGGAGTAGCAGAGCCCGACGCTGGGCGTGGAAACGAAGATTTGAAGAGCTCGCTGAAGATCTGAGAGATTCTCAGCCGTTGGTTTGCGTGAGTACTGAGCCAACTGGCTCGCAATGTAGGAGAGGTCGGGCCTGCAGGTGACAGATGCAAAGAGCAGGCATCCCAACTGCTGCTGGTAAGTGTGAAGCCCAGCAGGGGACAGGGTTTTGTTGTCAGGCTTGTGGTTGGGTCCTGGAGTGCGGTAAGGGGTGGAGAGTGGTGTAGGCACAATGTTGACACGCTTGCTAAGCTCCTCCGCATACTTCGCTGCTGAGAGATGAATGGCTTCCGGCGAGTAGGTGATGTTGAGTCCGAGAAACTGCTTCACGTCATGATTACAGGTGATGTCGACGCGCCCTGCGAGGCTTTTCTCAAACTGCTCGAGCAATTCGTTGCTTGAGCCCGTGTAGAGAAGGTCGTCGACGTAGACCGTGAGGAGGATGTATTCACCGCCGAAATCGCGGCGATACATTCCAGGATCGTGAGGCAGCTGCTTGAACCCGATTTCAAGCAGTATGTTGTGCAGGTACTGCTGCCAGAGTCTCGGTGCCTGTTTGATCCCATAGAGGGAGTTGCGTAGCTGACAGACGCGTGGGTCTCCGTCGCCGTAAGTGTGTGGCTGTTCCACGTAGATCACGGCGTCCACTAACGCGTACAGGAACGCATTCTTCACATCGATCTGCCGGAGTGGTAGGTGTCGTGCGGGTGCGATGGCGAGGAGAATTCTGACGGACGTGTGATGGCTGACCGGTGCAGATGTCTGGTCAAAATCAATCCCGTGCCTTTGATCGTAGCCGCGCACCACCCAGCGTGCCTTGAATCGCTCAATCCTTCCGTCGGCTCCTGTCTTCACTCGGAAGATCCATTTGCCGGAGAGAATCCTGTCAAAATTAGAAGAAAGAAAGAGGATTGAACTAGCAAGAATGAGGATACAAATAGCAAACCCTAGAAGGGTTGTACTCGCTATAGAGCACCCCACTACAGGCTAGAACAATAAGATAATATTCTGACACACCCCCATAGCCAAAGTGGGGTGTAATCAGCAGAGCAGGCAAAGTAGTACAAGCTCAGGGTGGATCACAATGTCACCACACATTCTGAGCACAAGTTCAAGAAGAAATAGTTTAGAGTTTACAATTATAAGCAAAGCTAGTGGTAGTCACAACGGGCAAGTGAGGAGGAGGAGGGAGAGTGAGGGGAGAGGAGACAGGAGGCGACGGCTGAAGCTGCAGACACACGGGCAACAGGAGGCAGACTGGCACAGCGGCTACCGGACAGCGCCCGGACTACAGGGGTAACAGGCCCCGCGGCTCAAATAGCGGCGGACGGGCAACGGACCCACGGGCGGCTGGCACAGCTGGCTACGACTGGGCTACCGGGACAGCGCCCCGGACTACAGGTGCTGCTGACGACAAACTGGCAACCTCCGCTCATCCTCCCGCACACAGTCCCACCCCCCTGATACACACCCACTGCTACACCACTAGCTCTACTCCCACGCACCCCCCTAAAACCCTAAACCCCAGTCTCCCACACAACCACCCCCCTCAGCGACAGCTGCAGCAGTGGGAGACGAAGGAGGAGGAGGAGAAAGGGAGGAAGGCACACCGGCCACCCCCATACCCGCCACCCCACAGCTCGCCCCACAGCCGGCACAGGGGCGGGGCCGCGACGAGGGGCGGGGCCGCGACGGTCGGGGCGGGGCCGCGACGGAGGGGCGGGACCGCGACAGGTAGGGCGGGGCCAAGCCGGGCAGGCGCACGGGCGGCGACGGGCCGGGGCGGGGCCGCGACGAAGGGCGGGGCCGAGCCGGGCAGGCGCACGGGCGGCGACGGGCCGGGGCGGGGCCGCGACGTAGAGGAGAAGCCCGCCGCGCGCCCCGGGGCGCACAGCGGGCAATGAACCGCCGCGCGCCTCGGGGCGCACGGCGGGCAG